TCCTTTTAACAATAAGCCTCTCAAGGGTCTTCAAAACAAGCGAATTGCAAGCGATCGACCGATATTTGCAGGTTCCTTTCTGTGGCAATGGCGTGACAATTGCGTTTCGCCAACTACCAGCTATCTTGTGTTGCGTGAAGGGCAGTGTATATAAGTCGGTGAGAGGATGCGCCAGGTAATCTGCACACTCCTTGAGAGCGACAGGAGACAACTTATACGGATCAGGCGCTTTGGTCACTTGCAAAACAATTATTTCCCTATGTAGATCTAGGCTGTTCACAAAAGAAGGATTATTTGAAGCTAGCTGTAACTCAGCTGAGGATACAGCAAATGATGAAATACTATACTGGTCACAAAAACTGCAGTTCAATCTTTCCAGATCCGGGGTTGAATGCGTGACTTCGCGGGTGACTCCGCTTAACTGCAGTATTTTCCATGTTTACGTTAATAATTGTTCCCAAGTATGGATCCTGCTCATAACAGAAAAGTCACCCAGATAGAAGAGCGATCCTATGGCTATAAAATCCATCCCCACGCTCCACACCCTGCAGGCATTGCACGTCTGTCTTTCACTTTCTTGCAAATATGAAGTCATTACTGAATTACAAAGATGTTCCAGACGATGAGACTGATTTCTGAGTTCAGGTCATGGTTTTTATGCCAATCTGAAGATTTCTACAAGCGTGGTCAATTCAAACGCATAAAATGATGGGAGAAGTGTGTAAATCGAAGTGTTACCTATGTGAAAAAGGATTAATATCTGTGCAAAGTTTTGCTGTTCTCGGTGCACATGAAACTTGTCAGGGGAAATATTTATTGAACGTAACTTGTAATGTCCGCGATGCGGCATTCGTTAACAATGGGCCAGTAGTACATGTCACAAGTGACTCCCAAAAGGGGCCGATCGCTAGCGCGCTAGTGGGTCATTAAAGCGAGAAGAAGACGAGATAACACTGACGGCTTAAACGGGTCAAACAATACCATGGTGTAACCTGTTAGAGTGTATGAAACAGTCAAATTCGGTGAAATTCGCAATTCGCACAGGGTGGTTTAAGTAAACCAAACGATGTCCAATGCCATCGGTCGGAAATGTGGCATAGCTGGAGGCAGATGGGGTCAAAAGACATGGCTCTCGAGACCGTGTTCGCCCACAGAATATAAACAAGAAGGAGAAACGGCGATATACAAGGTATATCTGTTGTGAGTGGGTGTTCAGTGCTAGTATTCTACATCACTACCTTGCTCAGTACCGTTATCTAAAGCACCATTATTTAAAGCTGCATTTACGAATAGCCGCATTGTGGTGAAGATCATAGGAGCCAATTCTGAGAAAAAGTGATTCAGGGAACGAAATAGACCTAGACATAAGCGGGAGGAAAGAGTTGAGACACCGTGGGTGTTTCGAGAGGCAGGAAGCGCTTGCAGTAGTACCGCGATGTGACGAAAGCCATAACAAAACGATAGTCAAGTCTGATAGGATTCGGTAGTTGAACACACAGTTATGCAATTGGAGAGGGAAACTGACCTCAGCAGATGTTTCGCCCGAGCGAACGCCTCTGAATTCACCAGTCCATTCTTTAACCAGAGACGATAAAGATCAGGGAACTGCAAAGCGTGAGAACATGTAAAGTGCGATATGAAGGTAGGAAACTGCGGCACTGCAAAGACTACTGGCAAAAGTGTTGTGACCCCGTGTCGTACAGAGTCCTGTGTACATGCCAACTACGTCAGGGAGGTTATCGAAACAACGGATGATAGCTCACGTTATATCGCAGTTAGAATGTAGCTCGATTTGTCGCCATGGCTTGGTGGCAAAACTACTGGCTAATGATGTAAGCCTTTAACGTCAAGAGGTCACGTACTTGGCGCCGGATGAAGCATGTGGATGCGAAAAGCTGAGCAGTCCCAATAAAACGAAACGGATCTGTGGTGGTATTCCGGATTATTGTTGAGGCATCTAGCTTGTAAGCTAGTGCGATGAACCAAGTAAAGTGTGAGCAAAAGGCTCCATCCCCAACAATAATTAAAAATTAGCCCAAAAGCTTATAAATGCTATGCGTACATAGCCGCTATTGTGGGTCGTGGCCGCAGGGGTACTAATCTGTATGACAGTGCAAAATTGCAGGTAGCTTGTAAGCCGCGAAGGTCTGCCGATGTATCCCATGGCCTAGTGGCACAAGCTGCTTGTGTCAAAGGGGTCACGCATTCGGGTCCTGGTGGAGTCGGGGAATGCGCAGCCCCGACGCGTCCCAACAGAACAAAGCATCCAATTGGTGCTTTACCGGATTGATGGAAGGCTATATAATTCATTAGCCTCTGGAGTGAACTTAATGAGACATAGCATAGTTTGTAGTAACAGAGAGAGGGCATCTTAGGAGGGCCGCAGAAGCGATGAATGATTATGGATGATGTTGGAAGCAAACGGGACACAGTAAGAGCAGCTAACACTGCTCGTCAAGGAAACTTAGACAGAAAGGAATGCGGATATAGGAAGCACCAAATGAGATGAGGGTGGAATTATCATTTCGGTCTCCGCACCTCTTAAGTGGATCGTAAGAAGATTGGAATCCCCGCTCCTGGCATAGGGATGCAAGAAATACGTGTGTCGCTGGAACAAAGCTAAGTCTAAGCACGTTGTGCGAAACGTTGGTAACAAAATTTGGACGCTACACAAAATATGAGCAGAAAAAGGAAAGGGAATCGGCGGTGCATTCGAATGCCCGTATTTCAAAAAAGCAATAAGATGTCCAAAGTAGATCTCACGGCTAGGTTGCAACGCATCACCAGCGTTATTGACATACAATGAGGGTGAAATCGCCTGACCTCAAAGAGTGATTTGGTGAGCTGACCTTCAGAAAGCAAATATTCCCATTTCATTAGCAAAACGTTTACATGGCAGGCATTATGTATGACAAGCATCCAATCGGGCAGGGGGTGTAATTGCTACGTGATTTGGGCAGTCAAAAATAAATTAAAACTTGACCATAGGTGTCACGAGATGTGAACTAAGCGAAACTCTTACCTCAAACCTTAGCAATCCAAAGTGAATAGCTCATGTAACAAAACAGAAGGTACGTAACACGGTATGTTGACCCCACGCTGAGGTTGATGTAGCTTCTTCACCGCAGTTGGGCTAGACCGACTTACACTTAGACTAGATTTTTTTATTCTGGATAAAAAGCATTCCATTTTATTTTATTTGCTCAGTTTTGTTATTCCGCTGCATAATCCGTGTTAATTTTGTGCTTGATGTGAGCACTGATAAGGTGTCTACCTGTCTAACACTCTCCATTTAGATTGCTGGCTCCAGGAGACTTTCAATCGTTGCTGGTCCTCGTGACCGTGCTAGGCTATAAAGAGTGGTTCTATGCATCCAATGTGGAGCAGGCTACCGCCCAGCCACCGCCTTGTGTACGTCTGGTACGTATCCTCCACAATTAGGCAGGAATGCTGTTGCTGTGCACGTTGATGGAACGTGTCTTCCATCCACATGCTTCCCGGTCTTATTCCTTCGGGTTTGCACTGGATATGGAGTAAATGGTTGGAGCTGTTGGTGGTGCAGCGCAAACCAACCATGGTACCTCTGTATGCACATGCATCCTGTGGCTGTCCCCATGGGGGCCGCAGTGACAGGAAAACCCGGAACTGGATGCTGCCAACCATGTTGGCCGAGACAGTTGTATTGGCCGTACCTATCGCTTTTGCACACACAATTCCGGCTTCAGACGTTGGACGTATACACCTTCGGCAATGGAAAGAAGCTGCATGCTGAAGCCTTGCGGGAAACGTTTAGGCCGTGTGGAAATGATTTTGAAGTCATTCTCAAAGGTTATATAACCAAAATCAAGGAAATGCGATATCATAAACAGTCTGGGAATTACATTGTGAAAGGTGAAATTGTAGAACCACGCCACGGCGTACCGGCAAATCGTATGAAATAGTGTCCGCGTACTGCGACCCACGTATCGTGCATCGCAGGAGCATGAGCACCGAGAAATGAGCAATTAACAAGTCAACGAGGGTAGCCTGTTATAAAAGAGTTTCGAAAGCAATGCCTTGTAGTAACAGATAATTCCCAGCCGAGCCGCCAGAAACGTCTTCTCAATATGGTGTTTAAGGCGCCGCGATAGACTATGAGCGGCAGAATCGCGGTATGAAAAGCTCTTTCTTTGGAGCAATCCTGCTGGGTAGATTTCGTTAGCGTTCCCTCGAATGCCTCAGGATCCATTTGTCGGGGGCAACCAATTTCTCTCCGGGCATCGCTGATTCTCTGCAACTCTCCACTGTCGGTATCGGCTGTGCAAATGCTGGGCGTTTTGAAGGCGACAGATCGGAGTAAACTCATCTTATACTGGTATGTTATTGCGATGTGGAAGTTTGTGTATTGACCAGTCAATGCCAGCTTTCTGTGTACCTTTCTACTGTAAGATCCCTCAGAGTTATGGACAGGTCATAAATCTAAAAAGGGTAATCGGTTTCCGAACTCATGTCCGCATGTGAAATGAAGTTCCTTATATGCCACCACAAAAGCTTCCAATAACTGTGCCTCATGCTTTGCTGATTTGGAAAGCGCGAGATCATCAATATAAGTAAAGTACATTTCAATCTAATGGATGCGAGTTTTGAGTGGGTCATGCTTTAATTTTACCGTAAAAATATCAGTCAGCAGGGCACCTGAAGACAATCCTATGGCTAATCCGATAAATTTAATCAACTTGCATTCGCTTGGAACGCATTAGGGGAAAGCTTGACCCTCCCAAATGATAATGGTAATCTTGCCGCTGGTAGCTTATATACACTGTTACGCATCGACTGCCTGTCACCGGAGCTAGTTACTTTAGAGTTTCGAGTCTTGATGTACTAACTTTTGTTTATTTTACCTACCATTAATAGTTATCGATTGGACTGCTCAAACAACTTAGAAATCGATTCCTATCCCGATCTGATGGTAACAACACATAGTGTTTGTTATGTAGGCGTCAAGGACTGAGGGGAGTTCATTCGAAATGAATTCAAAAGTCAGAGCTAATTTCTGGTCAAGCTTTTAGTTAAAATAGTAACGTTTGATATTCGGGAATTCAATAAGTCACAAACTAAGGCATCCGCTGAAAATGGTGACATTGGGTGGAGGGTAGTGGTGGGAAAGTATTTCGGCTTGAACAGGAGAGGGAAGTTCCTAAGGTTTCATAAGGTGGATGACATCACCGATGAATCGCATAACCCTTGCGGGGTTAACCTGAACAAAGAGAGAAGAAAGTTCACACAGTGAAGACCAGATATAGGTCAGTGAACATATGTTGGCCAATAACACTTACTGATTTGGCAATTGGAAATGCAGAGATTGAGGACAGAATGTCAAACAACCAACGTAGAACCGGTGAAGCCAGACACTGTAGCTGCCAGTGCGCTTCCAACTTCTCCACTAGTCGGTCCACCAGTGGTAGTGGTAGTAGTCTGTCCGATGATGATGAGTGTTTCGTCGACGGAGACGCAGAAAGCTCACTGTCAGACACGCAACAAGTTAACGAAGGAAATTGCACAGAGACCAAATGGGCGAGCTCCGAGGAGGACAAAGAGACCAAGTAGTCGCGGGCTTTTCTAGATGGAAGAAGCAGTTCCGGGTGCGGGCAGTTTAGACAATGTTCTAACATGCAGAACTGAGGTGAGGAAAAACAAGATGACCAAGATAACTGGTGACGCTAACGGAGCGAGCTTGCATAGAATGGCTGCATTACATAGGATATATCGTCTCGGTGATTGATAGTGAGTACCCATAGAGTAAAGAGGAGTTGGCTTCTAGAAAATATGCATGGCAAAAAGTCGATCAGTAAATATATTAAGATAAAGTTTAACAGCACATGGGACACTAATTCGTCCTTTCGTGAATTTCGGAGGTATTGGTGGCTACCCTGCCTTATGCACAGTAGCAATGGAGGGTAGATCACTCTACAAAAGCGACAAGTAGCTTGGACGTATCGGACGCTATCGTCCCCCAAATGTGCTCAACTGCCGACTCGTAAAAGTAAGCTTGTGGATTTTAATTCCACACGCAGCAGAGGAGATGCATATCGCAAGCGAGTCTTAAAACGACGAAACGGCTGTCCAGTGTCTTCCCAGATATGTGATGACCTATTGACTAAGTTAGGCCGTGAGGACTCTGAATCATAGCACTTCAGTAATGCTACTACTCCCTTGTAATCAGGGCACAGAAGTGAAGGCATGTTCATCGGTTACTGAGTTGACATTCATGGCACTTTCATAATCCTCCCCCAGATTCACTTTGCAGAGGCGCTAAATATAGTCGGAATTCTGATTTATCCATATCGTCGATCCCAACTCCCTACCAAAGTACTGTAGTGTAACGAAGACTGGGCTGCGATCAAAATCTATATGATCAGAAAACAATATATGATGTATGGAGCAAACTACACTCCGTTGAGCGATTCCGATTTGGTCTCCCCTGATTGGCTGTCTATGGCGGAAACTTAACATATTCCTCGATCGAGCCAATTGGTGGTGTGGGCTTACAAGACGATTCTCGCCCACGCGTGTGGGCGTTGCTGCCTGACTGGCGGTGATGGACCAGCTTTCAGTCGGCCCAATTTCGTTCAGCTCGCCCGTTCGATAGGCAACCAGTATGATTGATACGGTATCTTACCACCACAGGTACCATCTCATCGTTTGCTTTCAATAATCGCATGTCCATACGAAAAAAGTCAAAGATCGAGCATTGGAAACTGCGCACATTGTCAAATTGGACCGCAAATCAACGTTCAGTGCGACGCACTGCCCTAGTCATTGCGTTATTGGGATTGTCACTGAAGAGCCTAGTGAGACGCGGATGGCTGAGTAGGGTTAGCCACAAGATCGAGAAAGCAACTAGAAAACTATGGCCAATCAGTGTCCTATATGAATGCCGCAATGTCGGTTGATGATGTAGTCGCCTGGATATGGTCTGATGGTGATATCACTTGAAACACGTACCAGACTAGACAATCTAGCATATGTTCACTCAGAGAATAAGCTTAATTCATCGGAGACGGTTCAATAAGAGGACACCAAGTCAGTCAAAAGAAATTAGATTTTCAAATTACGCTTTTAGAAATAGAGGCGAGCACAGAGTTAAGCGATCTCAAAATAACCAACCGGCGCCGAACCACATAAAAAACTGATTTCGCAGATTCAAATGAGGATAGCCTGTCGCCTGCAAGGGAAGGTGGGATGTGCGGACGTTGTGTAGCAGCGTGAGGCACGACAGTGTCTATGGATGTATCGAAGAGGACCAATAGCGTTCAACTGGCATTGCAAATCCAGCAAGAACGTTATGTTAACAATCGACGGGAGCGGTGAGAGGCTGACGACAGCTTAAGATGACCTGAGCCTTTGAGCGCGATCCAAAAAGCAGTGCAACGACGCGTGTGTCATAGTGTGGCGCGCCATCAAGAAGTACTACTGTACAAGGACAGAGCAGTATAGTTAATGTCTACACGTGCGGAACTAGCGCAAGCCTGTGGACGCAGTAATGGTCCATAGCCGAACGACGCAAGGACAACGAAACACAGCGAGCCGGAAGTACGCAACGTGCATACTGGCAAGAACGTGCACAGAGCATCGATCAAGTAATTGAGACCAAGTCACTAGTGAGTGGGTAATCGATAGACAGACGTGCACGCACAGTGTTGGGGAGATGGTAACTCATACGGCAAAAGTACGGTATAAACGAGCAACGCAAACAGGAACAGAGAAAAATATATATAACAGCAACGGTCAAAAACAAGGTAAAAACGCAGATATCCCAGAAAAAACGACGAGAAGCGTCTGAAGGCGAAGACTGCACTACCTAACGTCGGGTAAGGCGTTTGCGACGATAGTCTGCAAAGAGCACATCAGTAACGTATAGAATAGTGTAGCGCAACGTAGTGTAGTCGCAACGAGACTGGACCTTAACGTGGTGCGACGGTTTGCGTACCTCATTGACCCATTGAGCTATACTGGGTGATGCCTCCGAGCATCTTGAGAGCTACTCCTACCAGGTTGGTCAATGGTGAGAGGTCAGACTAACTCAGTCTCCTGATCCTCCAGGTTTGGAGCTTGAAATGCGATGGCGTCCATTTCTGTGAAATTAAATCACTGCCACCTCCCCGCTGCCTTGCGGACAGGCTTTTGAGCCAAAGGCTTTGGATGAGGACCCTAATCGTCCTCCTGTCTAGGTCTGGGCGCCCTGGCAGTATACAAACCCACATACAACCACGATATTTTCTTCAAACATAAACTTCATCCTGCATCTTCCGTCGAGCAGATTATCAAGGGTCGCCTTATCTGCTGCATACAGCAGGGAGGATAAGCGAAAACATGCTACTGCTGGCGCCTCCCTTCTTTCTTTTCCACCTTTTTCTCTCACTCCCATCCCGACCCCCATTACTAACCTTCCTTCTATAATCCCCAGCTTAATTGACAGCAACCGAAGTGCCACTGCAGCAGAATCATCTGCAGGCACCATCCCAGAACATCTATCGGCAAAAGTCCCTTATAAGGCCACGCTATCCCGTTGCCATGGCGACATTCAATGTTCGCACTCTAAGACAAACAGGTTAACAGGCTGCACTCACACACATCTTGGACACTCTGGGTATTGATGTGTGTTATGTGTCCGAAACTAGGATCAATGACCCTAATGAGGCTGTTGAATTAACTGCACCCGGCTTATCCTCTCGTTATTGGCTGCACGCATCCGGAGACGCCGATGCAGCACTCACGGGTCAAGCTGGTATAGGTATCATTCTAAGCTCCAAGGCTGAGCCATCGTTGGCTGATTGGATTCCGGTGAACAGCCATTTATGTGCAGCCCATCTGACGACATCAGCTAAGGTTGATTCACGAAGTAGTATAAAACGCTGTTTGTTTGTGATTTCCGCTTATGCTCCCACCGACTGCAGTTCAAATGCAGTCAAGGGCACATTCTATCACGAACTGAATGCGCTATTACGCAGTGCTACTAGTTCAGATATTATAGTACTTGCAGGCGATATGAACGCACAAGTAGGGCGTCTGAGCTCTTCAGAGGCTCAGCTAGGTGGTAAATGTGGGCTTAACTCCGAACGGACTGACAACGGTGAGCGTCTGCTGCAACTGTGTGCGGAGCACCAGTTGTTTCTTACTAGCACTGCTTTTAGACACAGTGGGCGTCGAAGTGCCACTTGGCGTCCTCCTGTAGGTGACCAGCGATGGACCCAAATTGCTCACATTGCCATAAGTTACAAATGGCGTGGTTTCATCCTGGATTGTCCCTCGTACTGGAATACCTGTATCGACTCTGATCATGCTTTGGTACGTTGTCGTTTCTCCACGAACTTTACCGGGAGGCGCACAAAGCGTCTCCTACGACTGGCAACTGAGAAATTGTCTCAGCCCTCGGTCAGGCAAACCAATCAAGACGCACTGCATGCTGAACTTTCGCTGTTTTGTCCTAATGACACTGAGCTTCTGTGGAATAGGATCTCGGCCGCCATGCACAACGCAACAGCATCTGCTTGTAGCACTATCAATCGTCACCGCACCAATCACTGGATATCCGAGAGGTCGGTGAGCCTGTTAGAATCTAGAAGACACCTCCCGGCTGGTTCTGAACACAATGTGACCAGACGGGCTATTAGGCGTGAACTAAAGCAAAGCTTGCGTGCTGACAAGGAAGCCTGGTGGACCACTCGGGCTCATGAAATGGAGGACGCAGGGGCAGTAGGCAATTGCCGCAAGCTCTTCCAGCTGATCCGCACCTGGTCCCAGAAAACCAGGCATCAGTGAGACAATCAGAGACAGCGCATGTGTGCTGATACACAATAAGGAGCACCGTATGGCTCGTTGGGCGGAACAATTTCAAGATCATTTCAGCTGGCCCCCTGCTCCCGGACCTCTTCCTACTCAGGTGATGCAGGACGAGCCATGGGCGGTTAGTTTAGTACCTCCGTCCGAGGCCGAGGTCAGAAACGCGAGTACAGCCCTCAATCATTTTCGTGCCTCTGGCCCGGATTCCCTCTCACCTGCACTATTTAAGGATGGAGGTGAGGTCCTCTGCAAAGCACTGACCTCCTTATTCGAATGTGTCTGGAAAGAAGATAGCATCCCAGCTAATTGGAGCGAATCGATTATAGTGGCAATATACAAGAAGGGCAGTCGCACAGACTGTTCTAACCACAGGGATATTAGCCTAACGCCAGTTGTGACAAAATTATTGGCCTCGATTATCGTTCGTCGCCTCACTGCGGAACGGGAATCTTGGAATAGGGAAGAGCAGGCTGGTTTCCGCCAAGGACGTGGCTGTATAGACCATATATTCACTTTGCGGCAGGTGCTAGACCAGCGCCACGCATACCGCAGACCGACAATAGCTGTGTTCCTCGATTTCAAGAGTGCGTTCAATTCAGTCGATCGATCGATTCTGTTCGAAATACTTGCGCGGAAAGGTGTTTCCATGAAATATGTGAACATAATACGTGCACTATACTCGAACACTACAGGCCGCGTCAGGGTCTACGGTGGCCTATCGGATAACTTTCAGACCACACGTGGCGTTCGTCATGGCTGACCGATTTCCCTATTTCTGCTCAATTTCGTCGTGGATTCTGTCATGGAGTGTTCCCTTGCGGAATCTCATGATGTA